GGCACTGGCACCGGGTACCCGGCGCCGTACCCTGCGCCAGGCACGGCGTACCCGTCATGGGGCTCTGGGAACCTGGTCCGGGTACCCGGCACTGTACCTGGAGCCGGCATACCTGGCGCTGAAACGATTCAGTGCTTGGTACTGACTGACTTAAGCTAGCTATGGGAAAAAACTTCAATCGATGTGTTGCCTGTGTTGCAACACTTGATGTAAGGTCGTCATGAAAGGGCTGTCTTCCTTGAGATTGAAAGACGGCGGTTCGGGTTTTGAATGTCTGTGCTGGGTACCCGGCGCCGGGTACCAGGCGTCCGGCTATTATTATTAATCCTAGTGCGGGTCGCCAATATCTTCCAGGAGTCGAGACGACACAACAAAACTCATGAGTGGGCAAGTCGGCCTCCGCAGCCGGGGTCGCCGAACTGGGCTTGCGCAGACCTCAGTTTGAAGTGGCAGAGTTAGTAGTACTGCACTTCAAGGCTGCGAACACGTGCAAGTGCTATGCATCAACGCGGACATCTTTGCAATGATGTCTTCGATCCTAAAGCAGACTCGCAGAACACTTGCAGCATGGCACGCCATGAAGGCGGAGAGGCGGTGTCTCCGGAGGCGTCAGAATGCGGAAGTGGAGGAGATGTTTCGAAGTGTCGATGCTCTCAACGATGAAAACTATGAAATCGTCATGCGAATGGTCCGGTCGCCATCGAAAAACAAGGCGAGGATGGCACTGGCACTGGCGTCCACATCGACTTCGCGACTTCACTACAACTCTGCGGTGCCGTCAAGTTGCTCTTGCAGAAGCAGGGTTGCGTTGTGAACGGTGTGGCGAGAAATGTGAAGCTGGAGCCTCTGGCAGACAAAGTGTGACAAAGCACACTGCCGGGGCCACTAGACGGAGGCCGCTCCGTTTGCAGCCATGGCTCGTGCAGTTGTGAAAGCGAAGATCTCACCTGCCAAGGCCAAATCCGTGCGGAAAAGTGCAAGTTGTCCGCCCCCGCAAATCGGCAGCATTCATTGCGTTTTCCTGGTGTAACCTTTGCAGTACAAGATATTTTGGTTTCGCACAATGCCACCGAGTTCTCAGGTATGACGGTTGCTCAACATCGCAAGTGGCTGAAAACTGGAGTCTGACAACCCTAGAATCTTAAATGCAGCAGGCGCCCGGAGAACATGGCAACGCTTCGTCTAAGCACAATCTGCAGGAGCAAGGCCAAGTAGAATTATTATTTTTATTCTCGGAGAGCCATAGATCCAAGTTTAAAAGTGGCTCCTTGCCGTCGAGACAAAACTGGCACCCTGCCCGCGCACCGGACCACATGGATCATGGGCAGGCCTGGAGGCGACCAAGCAGCTGAAGCACACCTATGTACACCAAAGCTAGGCTCGTTCCAGCCATCATGTTGCCAATAAGGCTCATGGCCTGGGCATAGCTTAGCCCACGGAAATTGTAGTTGATGAAGCCATGTGCACGCATGAGCTCAACCGGGTCCATCAGGCGATGCTCCGCAAACATGTAGATCTTGGAGCTTGTGGTGATGGTTGGCAGGGTGCCGTTACCGTGCAAGTTGGCTCGATACGGGGATTGCGAGACATCAGCCACAGCATGCACCATGCCTTGCGGCTTGAAACTCTCTCGGCACATGTACTCACACAGGTCGAGCCCAGCCTTCTCCCTGGGGGTCCAACCAGAACCACGCTTGGAACTCTCACGTAGGTGGAGAGGTGGCAGGTGAGCCTTTGCATCCACCTTCTTGTAGTCCACAGCTTGTTTCCAAGCCTTTGACAAAGCTTGGAAGTATGCCTTGCTGTCATTCAAGCTTTGGCCTTCACTGGCATCCTCGGTGACCAGGTCGTCATACATCCGCTCGCTCCTGCCCACGAGGAAGGACTTGAAGTTGTGCACGGGCAGCTCGTCCATGAAGCATTGCAACTTCTTCATTTGCAGGACTGCGGGCCCAACATCCCCAACCCTGGATCCAATGAAATAGATTCTTGGCCTCCTCGTTGGCAGCGGGCGCGCACTGATCTCCAAGTGAGAGATGGAGTACTCCTTTGGCACTTTCGACACGATCATCTCTAGGAGGACCGTCAGCAGTGGCCGGGGATCCTCTTTGGATCGAGGCGCGTGGAGACCAGTAGCCACGTTCTCCAAAATAAAGGTACGAGGGCGATATGTCTGGATGTGGTGGATGGCATACTCGAACGTTGCAAAATGCACGGATCCCAAAGGATCTGCGGCGGTCCTTGCAGGATTCTGCAAGCTGTTGGCCTTGCACGAAAAGCCGCAGACAAAAACGTCCTGCTCCATACTCCTTGGCGGGACACACACTGCATCGTGCTTGGAGCAGTACTCTTTCCCACCATTGGAGACGCGAGCCATGTCCTTGAAGACGTGGACTGGGCTCGTGTTCATGAGCAGGGCGTGGGACGCTACAAAGGATGTGTCACTGCACATGACCTCCTGCACGCCACCAAATTGCTGCAAGATCAATGACGCAGCTCCTGTCCTTAGCAACACCAAGTCGCATGCGACTATGTCGGTATCCAAGAAAGGCATTTTCCCGTTACTTCCCCCTCTGACTCTAACTTGCTGCCGCGTGGCCCCGAGCAAGCTGTAGCTAGCACGCAATCGCCCAGGCCAGGTTTGGTCGTCAACTTTGTATGTTGCAGAAGCTTCTGTACAAACTCACCCATGCTAAATGGCTCATCTGTGACTGTGATCGAGGCCTCCGAAACAGGCTTCGTTTCCATAGCTGCAGCTGGCCGCTTCATCCCTCGGCCACGTTGGTTTTTGGACTGACCCGTCATGGTCTCGATCCTACACAACTCTCCGACAAGAAAATGCTGCGAGACAGGAGTAAACTTCCATCCGGGCTTCAATGATTCACAACCCACACAATGATGGACTGAATCTGAGTCTGCCGCTTGCAATCGCTGCACCGCTGCCTTGCATAACACAAATAGTGGACCTCCAGCCTGAGTCTAGAGGCCTACTGTGCCTAACTGAGTATGAGCGCTTGCCCAGGACTCGATCACAGCACCTGTCCGCACTCGACCCTAGAATGTTGGAAAGCAACCGATGACTGACACACAGGGATCATGAGAAGCTTGTGGAGATGCTGGCAACTTGATTTGGTCGCTCTCTTTGCTCGAAGCTCCACGATAGCTCGTGCAATGGCCTGCTCCACTGCAGCCTATGAGTGTCGCACAAGAGCCGTAGCATGTAGACACTGTTCCTGCGTCAATGTGGTGTTCTCTGCTGCTTTAATTCCAAAGCTGTGACGACACCCCAGGCTTTTGAAAATGGCCTTCCAATGCCAGGTCGGCGCTACAAACAAATCAGTCCTCTGACTCTTCGTCGCCCTGACCCTCAGCTCCCTCCTCGTCATCCTCGGGTTCCTCAGCGACGTCCACTTCCGACTGAGGCTTCAAGGGACTTGCCTGGGCTCCCCGTGCAAACGCTGCTTGCAGGCTGCTCGACGATCCACCCAAGGATGCCTCACGGGTCAGCACCCGCATCCTTCCAAAATCCTGGGCACCCAAGATCATGGCCATGGCCACCCGCAAAGTCGTATCCTCCATGAGAATCTTCTTCGTGAGCATGTTGCGAGCATAGCCCCTGAATTGGTACCCATCCCTCGCCGAAGCCAGCATGGCAGCCGAAGAGGGTGTCGAAGTCACGACGCGAATCTCTCCAGGCAAGCCAAACCCATGGAAGAGTTCGCGAAAGAAATCCTCTGGCTGGCCCCAAGGCCAAAGCAGGCTGGCCGCAGCAGAATCATGATCCACATCTTCTGCAACCTTGGCCTTAGCAGCCTGAGCAACCTTCTCGCCGTCAGCCTCAGCATCGTCTGCTACCACATCTTGCTTGGAAACTGTGCCCTTCTCAGTCTTGAGCTGCTCCTGAATGGCCATGGGTACACGAACTTGTTCGTCTTCTGATTTCAAGGACACATTGCTGAAGCCTTTGGCACGGTTGTTTCCGGGCAAGTCCAGGAAGCGTCTTTCTCTCACACTCGTCGTGAAGTTTCTTCCCAGCACCACATGGCACGTTTCAACGTGGCTGATTGCACGGGCTGTCACACAATTTTTCACCGACCGAGGGCCGGCGTATTGTCCAACCTGAAGTTCGCGGTTGTGGTGGAAGTAGTGGTACTCCTTAGTGCCCAGGCAGGAAACTGTTAACTTGATTTTGCCTTATTATGTATGTCACTCAGACCTGATGATATTTCTCATTTTATTTCCTTTGGTGTCTGGGCCCTCTCTCTCTGCTATCTCCGTCTTTTTTCTCGTCTCTTTAACTCCTCTCCCTTGCTTGCGCCGGGACTGCGTCTCCTCTCCTCTCTCTCCCTCTCTGCCTCTC